CAGCAGTATGTGAAAATGCATTTTTATATTCCTATCAGTATGTGATTAAATATTTTTACTCTTGTCAATCTGAGGTTAAAAATGGTATTTTGTTACAGTCTTGTGTACCCCCCACTTAAAAAACATTTTTTTAAATTTATTTTTGGAGGGATGGGAAGGGAGGGAGAGAGGGAGAGAAACATCAATGTGTGGTTGCTTCTCACATGCCCCCCACTGGGGACCTGGCCCACCAATCCAGGCATGTGCCTTGACTAGGAATTGAACCAGTGACCCTTTGATTTGCAGGCTGGCACTCAATCCACTGAGCCACACTAGCCAGGGCAGTATTTCACTATAGTCTTAAATTGCATTTTGTGTCTCATATTGATATCCAGCATCTTTTCAGATTTTTAAGGGTAATCTTATCTGTGAAGTGTCTTTGCATATTTTTGGTCTTTTTCCTGTTGATTTGTGAAGGTTCTTTTCATATCAGAGAAATTAGCCATTCATCTGTAATATGAGTTAATGCTAATTTTTCCCACTTGGTTTTCTTTTGATTTCAACTTTGCTCATAATGGGGTTTTTTCCATTTAGATTTTTAAAACATTTTAATGTAGTTGAATTACCAGCTTTTTATGACTTCTAGATTTTGTGTGATATTTCAAAAATCCTTTCCACTTTGAGATTATAAAAATGTTCTGTTTTTTATAGTTCCTCTATAGTTTCATTATTTTTTTATGTCAAAATCTCTGATTCGTCTGGAATTTATTTTGATGTAAGGTGAGAGATAGGGCTATAACTCAGTTTTTGTTCAATACATACTGAGTTGTCACAGAACTGTTTATTGAATAACCTGTCTTTTCTGTAGTAATTTAAAATGTCACCTTGTCATATACTAAATTCTAGTGCTTATTTCATTCCATTTCTGAACTTTCTTGTTTATTTATTTGATATCTGCCTATTCATATATTAGTGCCACATTGTTGTAAGTTTTGAAGCTTTATGTATTAATACTTGAGAGAACTAATACTGCTCCCCTTACACAGACACACACACACAGTCTTTAGAATTTTCACAGCTATTCTTCTATATTTAGTTGTCCTTATAATATTTATAATGAATTTAATTAGTTCTCAAAAGTGTCATGATTTTTTTATTGGTATTGAGTAAAATTTACAGATTTTCATAAAGAGACTTGCCATCTGTCGTGCTTTACTAACTCAACTGAGATAGAACAGAAGTATATATTACTGCGTTTTTGTTGGGGAGACATCAGTTGCATAAGATGTAGTCATTGTTTAAACAACTGATGCAGCCTGTGTTGCAGACTGTCTATCATTCCTGGGGAGAAAGCAAATAAGTTAATTGTAGGTAGTCCCCTAGGCTCTTATCCATTTGTTAAGGTCAGGGTTCGTATCATATGAGGAAGTTTTAGTTTCAGCTGACCTCCAGTGTCGTGTTAGCCAACAGGGTCATGTGGTTGCTTCAGTGTCGTTATAACCTGGAGTGGCATTCGGGATATACAGAAAGGGGGAGTGGATTGTAACACGTGAGTGGTTCAGGCTCTGGAATCAGACAGCAGTGGCACCCTATGACCTCAGCAGGTTATTTAGTCTCTTCTTTTCTTCGACTGTAAAGTGAGGGTATGTTAGTTGTGCCTGACTCCCAGGACTGTGAGTGAGGCTTAAATGAAAGAATCTAGAATGCTTTTGCCTGGTATATACTGGTGTCCTGTAAATGTTAACTAATGTCATTTATGTTAGAAACTGACTCCACTGGTCTGATGGTATCTGACTTACTGTGTTCAGTTCCTGATGTCATTACTTGAGAGAGGCAGTAGGAAAAGATCTCTATAAGAGGGTAGCCAGGTGATAAGAGGAAGGTGGCCTAGAAACATTAAAGGTATGGTGGGCCTTTTTACTGGAAAAGAGAAGGTGAGTGAGAAACAGGGTGTCCAGATGCTTATTTCTATTAGTTGGGGAGCGGGGACTAAGACCAGCTAGTGAAATTCAGCTTAACATAAGAAAAAACTTCTGGCCACTGCATCTTTTCGCAGTGGAGAGACTGTGCAGTGAGCTGCCTGCATTTCAGAAGAAATGTTCAGGAGGAATCTGGATTCCATTTGTTAAAGAAACTGTAAAAAGAATTTCTGAATTAGGAAAATGAGGCTAAATGATAAGCACTGTAGCATTTTCCTACAAAATTCTAGTATAAATGTACATAGATGCAATCTTATTTATTAATTTTTAGAGAGAGGGGAAGGGAGGGAGAAAGAGAGGAAGAGAAACATAAACATCAATATGTGAGAGAAACGTCATTGATCAGCTGCCTCTTGCATGCCCCCAGCTGGGGACCTGGCCCACAGCCTAGGCATGTGCCCTGACAAGGAATTGAACCAGTAACCTTCCTGTTTGTAGGCTGATGCTCTGTCATCCATTGAGCCACCCCAGCCAGGGTGTGATTTTTTTTTGACTAAGACTGTTTGGGGTGAACAGGGGTGACCATCAAATAAATAAAGATGTGGAGAAATAAGACTCAATGGGCTTGTTTCACTTCTGTCTCTTTGTCTGTTGTTACCTTGGAGATGAGTCCTATATCTTCTGAGTCCCTTCCTTTTCATATTAATCCTTGAGCGTGAGTTTTTAAAAGAACAAGCACATTGTTAGAAGTTTTCTGCCTCTTAGCGTGTGTGGGGCTTTTTAAAAAATATATATTTTATTGATTATGCCATTACAGTTGTCCCATTCCCCCCCTTCATTCCCCTGTATCCTGCACACCCCGTCCCACCCACATTTCCCCCTTTAGTTCATGTTCATGTGTCATAAGTTCTTTAGCCTCTACATTTCCCACACTACTCTTGCCTTCCCCCTATTTTCTCCCCACCATCTAAACTACTTATTCTCTGTACTTTCTCCTCCCTTCTCCTCCTCCCACTTTCCTATTGATAACCTTCCATGTGATCTCCATTTCTGTGGCTCCTCTCCTGTTTTAGGTATCTGCTTAGTTTGCTTTTGTTTTAGGTGTGGTCGTTAATAACTGTGAGTTTGCTGTCCTTTTACTGTTTATATTTTTTTATCTTCTTTTTCTTAGATAAGTCCCTTTAACATTTCATATAATAAGGGCTTGGTGATGATGAACTCCTTGAACTTGATCTGAGAAGTTCTTTATCTGCCCTTCCATTCTAAATGAAAGCTTTGCTGGTTAGAGCAATATTGGATGTAGGTCCTTGCCTTTTATGACTTGAAATACTTCTTTCCAGCCCCTTCTTGCCTGCAAGGTCTCTTCTGAGAAATCAGCTGACAGTCTGATGGGGACTCCTTTGTAGGTGGCTGTCTCTTATCTCTTGCTGCTTCTAGAATTCTCTCCTTCATTTTAATTTTGGCTAATGTAATGATGATGTGCCTTGGTGTGTTCCTTCTTGGATCCACCTTCTTTGGGACTCTCTGAGCTTCCTGGACTTCCTGGAGGTCTATTTCCTTTGCCACATTGGGAAAATTCTCCTTTATTATTTGTTCAAATAAGTTTTCGACTTGTTGCTCTTCTTCTTCCCCTTTTGGTGGTACCCCTATAATTCAGATGTTGGAACGTTTAAAGATGTTTTGGAGGTTCCTAAGCCTCTCCTCACTTTTTGAATTCTTGTTTCTTCCTTCCTTTCTGTTTGGTTGTTTCTTTCTTCCTTCTGGTCCACTCCCTTGATTTGAGTCCCAGTTTTCTTTCCATCTCTCTTGGTTCTCTGTGCATTTTCCTTCATTTCACTTCATTTTTTCATCTAATTTGTGACCAAAATCAACCAGTCCTATGAGCATCCTGATCACTAATGTTTTGAACTGTGCATCTGATAGGTTGGCTATCTCTTGGTTGCTTAAAAGTATTGGCTCTGGAGCTTTGATTTGTTCTGTTTGAGCCATTTTTGTCAGGTCATGCCTGTTAGGTATGAGTGGCGGAGCCTTAGGTGTTCACCAGGGCAGGGCAACGCCCGTGGCTGGGTTGTGATGCTGTATGTGGGGGCAGGGTCAGAGAAGAACTAGTGCTTGTTCTGCTCTCTCTTGGATTTCAGTCCTCTCTGCCGCTTCCCACAGGCAAATTGGGCCCTTCTGGTGCTGGTTCTTGGGTGGGTGGGCTTGTGTACATTCTAGGACCCTGTGAGTCTTTCCAGTGAACTCTCCTATGAGGCTGGGAGTCTCTCCTGGTACCTTTTAAATCAGTGCTTTTAGGCTTTATTTCCTGTAGCTGGGGCCCTGGGTTGCAGGGTCTCACTGCCCATTTTTGCCTGTTTATCTGCACGTGAATGTGTGACCATGGTCAGCCAACTGCCTTGCTCGCTCTTCTCATTTTCTTCCTGCACCTAGGGTCTGCTAGCCTCGTGCTGCCTGTGCTCCCGGGTCTAGCAGCCACCACCTTTTCCTGCCGCCAACTCCACCCCTTTTACCGGCCTGGTTGGATGGTTGTCGGACTTTTGTGCAGTTCAGTTTTCTGTCTGTTCTGGTTGTGTTTTTGTTTCTAAATCTTTGTTGTCCTTAATTTTGATTGTGTGAGGAGGCACAGTGTTTCCACCTGTGCCTCCATCTTGGCTGGATGTGTGTGGGGCTTTTTGAATAAAGGTGCTATTTGCACTTAGCAGACAACTGACAAGTTTAAACAAAAGAATATGATCCCATAAACTAGGCCTTGCTCCGTTTATTGCCAGTACCCTTCCCTGTTATCCTTAAGTGTCCTGCTACTCTTTTATTTCAGTAAATGTAACCATAGTATGTTAGAAAAATTTAGTAAGTTTATAAATAGAGGTAATATTTAATAACCTGTTTTTTTTTTCTTCAGATTTATCTCCTGATTTCTTTCTGGAGGGTCATTATTAGTGACTTGCCCCAATTTCCAAAGTTAGGTTTTGTGAAACTTTCCTGCTCTCAGTGGATATTACATGCATGTCACATTGGGGGTACTGTGTCATCACATTAAGTAAAAAACCTAGTATAGGAGAATATAAATCTTAGTTGATTTCTAAAATATTTCTGTATTTTTAGTGACTGATGAACCTACTGGAGCCACGGATCCCGAAGAACCTTCTGTTGGTGTGACACCCCCACCTGCTACAGCATTGAGTGTTACCCCAAACCCTGCTGCAGAGTCTCTCCCTGCTCCGGCCACGCCAGCTGAAGGAGAGGAGCCCAGCACTTCGGGCACACAGCAGCTCCTGGCGGCTGCCCAGGCCCCAGATGCTTTGCCTGCTGGGTGAGTAGCCTTCTGTCCCACAACAGCGCTTCCTACCCCTCCAAAGACTGAGGCTCCTTCACCAAGGCAGAAACAACATGGTTATTTATTACCTAGTGGCTAGGAGTCTCTGGGGAGGCTGCTATGCTTAGGACTGAGGGAGGTGTGGAAGAACTGCTTGTTCTACAGAAATCTTAAAGAGAATCTAAATCATCGGGGGCAGAATCAATGCTACCTTATACTGTGACTAGAAATGAACAGCTTGACTCAAAGCATGTGGCTTTTATAGAACAAGAAACTTATTTTGCCTTCTGAAATCATTGATGGGTGTTTGCCTAGATCCTGCGTAGAAAACGACTTTTCTCTCTTGAATTTTATCTTAACGGCCTGTGGAGGACATTAGGCTCTGAATATTACTGTATGTTATTCCCACAGCTGGTGCTGATACCAGCAGGGACTGCTAGTTTCCTTGCCATCCTTTAGTTCAGAATTAAACCTGACGGTATAGACCTTGGGTGCTAAGAAGATGGCTCTCGTAAACCAAAAGGAAATTCAGTTTGGTGGTATAGTGAGTGCAGGTTAAAAACGTGGATCCAGGAATCAAACAGAACTGGGTGTGAATCCCCACTTGACTCTATTTGACCTTGCATCAGGGGCTTACCGTCTGTCGAAGGGGGAGATAACAGTGGTGCATACCTCTCCAGAAAGTTAAGGGACTCAGATACGGCGAAGCTCTCACCCCATGGTGGGCATTGCACTTGGTGAGTGATGTTCTTGAAGTGGTTGTGAAAGAATCATGATGGAGGGGAATGGCTCTGAACTGGAAATGAAGCCTGATCTTAGAGGAACCAGTCACAGCGAGGCTCGTCCCCCTGTGGCCCTTCTGTGCATCCTGGTTATCAGCGTGGTCCCGAGAAGACCAGTGTCTGTCGCCACGGTCTCCACGATCCGACTGCTGGTGCTGGTGGCGGTGGGGTGTGGGAGGGTCCTCTGAGCCCTGTAACTCATAAAGGGAAAGGTGGATGGTCCCTTGTTTGGTGTGTAATCTGCTGTATTGTCTTTAAGCTGCTTTAGAAAACCCAATTATTAAAACAAAAATCCTGAATCTGAAGGCATATGTAACTTTTTACCATGTATATATTCCATCTCCTTACCATTTGGCACACTACTTAACTCATATTTCTTAATAACGTGTGATGAACAAATGAAAAGTATTGCAAATAGTTCCTAATCCCTCAAACCTGGAGTGAATTGAGGGTATTGAGAGGTGGTTCAGAAAAGTTTTTTATGATGGTTTTGATTTTGTGGAAAGATTAATAACCAATTTCTGTGTCCAACTCCTCCCTACCAAGATTTCTTTTCTCTTTTGTGTGGTGAGGACTACTCAAAAGACCTTCGTTTGGTTAATAATTTCAAATCTGTATATAATTTGGGGGGAACAGAGCAAAATCATTTTGGCAGGAGAAGAGAAAATGGCCACCCGGGTCCCCGGTGAGCTGTTTGTTTTCTTCCCGCCGAGCAAATGCCTGGAAGGCCGGCTTCACTCCTGTGTCAGTCACAGGCAATTAGGGCTAATGGCTCAACGTGTCTTTATGTAGGGCGTGTGTGAGGCTTACTGTTCTCTGGGATTGGGCTCTTCCTGTTTCCAGGCAGCTGGAAAACTCCAGGCTCTGAAAACACTCTTTATTCTAAGTTTGGCGGATGGAGTGGCCCAGGGAAGCGATTCTCCTCCCTCACCCTGCCAAAGGCTGCAGCACTTTTTAGAGGGAGAATTTGGACAGCATCTTTTCCTTAGAGTGTTTAGAACATGACAAGGCCTGTGCGTGGGTCTGGGGAGGCTGCTGCCTACTTTAAAATGTGTGCCGGTCCCGAAAACGGTACTGGGACCCTTCCTGGGGTGCCTATCCCCGAGACATCAGGAGGCTGGAGAGCCTGAGCTGCCTGCCTGCAGGTTGCCACCAGCTGTGCTGAGTGCACGGCAGTGAGCCTGGCAGGTCTTCAGCTCTCCGTTCTCTGAGGGCAAAGGGCACATGTTCTGCAGTGACCCTTGCAATTTCTGACCTATTGTCCCCACCCCAGTTTATTTACAAGTTAGGAGATCCAGATGGGATGGATTATTCCTTTATTCCTGGTATCGTGGCTTCTGGAGTCAGAACCAATTTTAACCTTTTTATTTGTTTGTTTTGTTTTTAATCCTCAGCTGAGGACATGCTCATTGATTCCAGAGAGAGGGATGGGTAGAGAGAAAGAGAGAGAGAGAAGCAAACCTTTGTGGGTTGCCTTCCAAACATGCCTGGACAGGGGACCAACCCGCAACTTTTAGGTTTACAGGACAGTGCTCCAACGAACCGAGCCACACTGGACAGGGCGATTTTAACCTTTTCAGATAAAACTCTGAGCCTGACATTTCACCACTTAGAATGCCTCACTGGCTTCATTGTCTTAAGGCAGCGATTTTCAACAGGTGTGCTGAAAGAATTTTTAAAACATGTAATGCCCGGCTATTTAGTTAGGGACACTGACCTCTTTTTCCTTATAGTGTCAAATAAATGACAACACAACAGTAGCTGTCCAGAGTGAATGGATCAAAATTACACCAATTTTTATGTCAGAGCAGCAAAAATGTATTTTTTGGTGTGCTGCAGAATTTTAATAATTAGTTAATGTGTGCCACGAGATGAAAAAGTTGAGACTCGCTCTCCTCAGGGATGAATTCACCCTCAGTGAAGCCTAGGAAACGATAGGACCGCATCTGCCCCTCAGGCCCAGGCGCTGCTTTGCTCCCCACGCTCCAGCATAGTAACTGATTTCAGTTCGACGAGTGTACCACTCTTTCTCTGTCTTCGGGGCCTTCTGCCATGCTCGTTGCTGTTTTTGTAAACTTCCTCACTACTTTGTCCATTAATTCCTACCCATCTTCGGGTCTCATCACCATTTTCAAAACCAACACTCCATGGGAATTCTTCCTTGGTTCCTGGTGGATGGGGTCAAATGCACTGAGTACTGTGACTCTGCTCATTCGTGGAATTGCTTGTTTCACGCCTCTCTGCCCTGCTGGGCTGTAAACACCAAGATGGCAGGGAGCCTGGCACAGAGTAGGCCCCCAGACATATTTGTAATGAATAAATTTAAATGCCGCCTTCTTTTCCTCCAACTGGATGAATGTTATCTGCTTCTTCAATACCTCAAAGAAAGAGCAACTGTGACAGGAGCACTGCATTTCTTCTCAAGAGCAAGAGCTTAAGGATTGTTCACTGGGTTGACTGGCTTTGTGTTGAAACGTGTGTCTGGCACAGGGTCAGGGTGTCCTTCCCTGCTCACTAGGGGTCCTCATGCACCGGGAGATACCTTGGAGCATGGCTCCTCTTTGCTAAGGCATTCCTGGGTCCCATAGAGTGCTCTTTCAAGGCATCCAGCTGACTTTGTCTCTTTCCAACTTTATCTTCTCAATTTCTTCAGTCTCCTTCACTGAACAGTTAAGCAAGGTTCACTTGGAGATCCCAAGGGCTTATTTTTCCAGTTGCCGAGTTGCCTTTCTGCAGCTTGCAGCAGATGAGACTAACCATAAAGAGGTCACACATGCCTGTATGTTTTAAGAACTAAAGGCTACTGAAAGCTGGGCTGCATAAGTCCAAATAGAACTCGCCTGATCCCCTTTCTCCCTTGTCTCTAAACCCTCCTCTTTTTGTGCTTCTTAATTTAATTAGCATGAAAGAAGCCAACTCTAAGGGTGTCTTCGTTTGCAGCTTACAAATGTCCATTAATGGCAGAGGTGCCAGGAAGGCTCAGGAGACATGGTGAGATAGTGGTCCGGGCAGCAGCGATGGGAAGTGAGGCCACTTTGATCAGTTGGCCTTGCATCTGGTTTTTATCAGCACCGAGCCCACTTTGGGGACTGAAGGCCCATTAACAGACCCTGTGTACAAGGCTTAGATAAACTCCAAGTGCGTCCCAGGCTTTGCAGCTCGCTCAGTGCCTCGCACACAGAGGCACATTATTTCACCCTGGCAGCCGGCGCTCTGCTGTGGTTTCTTATATAAGGGAGGCCGTTGTGCTTGGACTGCCGGCTTACCTCAGCACTGCCATTTCACACCATCCCTTCTCCCGCAGGCGTTGGCCGCCCTGTCCCTTCCTGCCTCAGGGTAGAATTAACTGAGGAGGGGTGTTCTCTGGATCTTTTTGATGTGCCATCTCTCCTACTGCCAAGCCCAGTGCTGGACACCCAGAGGCCCTTTTTCTAGGTGGTCTCTGAGACACACTGTCAAGGATGACAACCTTGTGAGAGGTCTTCGGTGTTTTATTCGTAGACACGCTTTAAGAAATGTTGGAATTTGGAGCTTCTCTGCTGAGCTATATACCAGCCGCCACCATCGATTTTCATTCCAAACTCAGTTTTGGCACCAGCCAAAGGTCCTTACCCAAGGAGTTTAAAACAGTGCTTCTCAAACTGTCTGTGAAGAACCAGCCCTTTCCCGCCCCCCTCTTTTCTTTGTTTTAAATTTTTTTCAGTTTGTTACAGGTCCTTACTTTTGTTCTCTATTTAGCAAGACAAATGAATTGATTACATATTTCAGTGTGGCAATGTCAGATTGGTACGAAAGTTTCTAAATGCTCAGGAACTTATGAACTTTTCTGGTGGCTGAACAGTGACAGTTTGGGCCATGGACCATACTTTGAGTAGCACCATTTAAAAGGACTATACTGGCAGAATTTGTGCCTTTTTGTTGAATAGGATTTAGTTTTTGATGTAAATGCTTAAGTAGTAGCAAGTAGTACATGTTTCTGACTTCCTCCTCATCATCTCAAAGCAAAAGCCATATTTCCAAAGATTCTACTATTGTTGGGGCTGGCCCATGAGATGTTCTCAACCTATTACATATATGTATTCATAGGTAATAATGAATTTTTTTTTATTAACCTTTCCTGAGAGGAGCTCGAGAGCAGGGCTTGCTGTGTCCACCTTTGTAACCCTAGCACCTAGCATTGTTCTAGGCTTCCAGGAAGATGGAATGGGAAATGTT